TGACATAGCAGAAAGAACCGAGATGGGTCTGTAATTGTTGACATCATCTCTGCTTCCGGACTTATGAATAGGATGAACCACTGCTCGTTTGAACACTGCAGGAAATACACCTGATGAAATAGCCAAATTGCATACATGCGTAATAATGGGAACCAGCACTGTCCTGGTGGCCCTAATTACGTTTAAAGGGATGCCATCCCAGCCTGTTGCAGAATCGGGCTTGAGGGTTAAAATTATGCCTTCAACGTCCATTTCTGTAGTTTCTAGGAGAACCATAGAACTACTTGATTTTGTGGACTCAACAGTAGGCGAATGGGATATAGGCTTTAGTTTAGATGCAAGGCTTTTACCGATACCAACAAAGTAATCATTAACTATATTGAGTGAGAGACGTGGAGAATCGGAAAGTCGTAACAGTTCGAGCGGAGGAGTGATATCAGATCCCAAATCAGCCACCTTTTTAATTACGTCCCAGGTTGCCTTTATATTATTTTTAGCTTTAGAAAATTCTTCTTTCTCAAACGCACATTTGAGCTTCCTTATTAATGAGTTGCAGTGATTGCGGTAGCGATTATACGTAATTCTCAAAATTACGTTATTACTGTATTTTTTTAATTTGGCGTGCATGCGATCCCTGTTTCGAATACACCTTAATAGGCCAGGCGTGATCCAGGGCTTAAGAGTTCTTTGTCGTCTGGGTACTTTATATTCGTATGTATTGGCCTTAATTATGGTAGAGAGATTACCTACTAACTCTTCTGAGGCACTGTCTGCATCTGTCATATTTAGGATGGGGGACCAGTCAAAACCTTTTATTGCGTCTATAGCGTCATCCCGATTTAATTTGTACTTGGTAAGAGGGAGGTTACGACGCTTGATATTAGCTTGCAGAAACAGTAATAAGGGTTCATGGTCCGTGATGGATGATTCAATGACAATTGCTGTAGCAGCTAAGTTAGTTTTTAGAAGAATATGGTCAAGACAGTTTGAAACACGCGTGGGATACAGGTGCGCCGGAAGTAGACCACGTGCAGCGGCACATGTGAGATACTCGTCTGAGTTGGTGTCATTGTTGCCGTTCTTGATGTCAATATTGATGTCGCCGATTAGGACAATAGATTGGGTGAAGAGTGTGAGAATTTTGTCCAAACTATCAATGAAGTTGGTTATGTTTCTATAAGAAGGAGAACGATAAATAGCGATGATAGTGATAGACTCTATGGCACAGATTAGGCAGTTTGCATCGGCGAAGTTGGGTTCTTTTACTTCATGTTTTATGAAGGATTTGATATAAATAGCACATCCATCATTTTGGTTGAAAGTGTTGTTTGTGTGGTAAGAGGTAAATCCATCCAGAGTAGGTAGGTGAGAATTTTTGCTTAGCCAACACTCCGATAGGACAATGACGTCACAGTGAAAGCCCAAAAGTTTCATTAAAACAGGTATTTCATTAAAATTTTTTTGAATACTCCGTATATTTAGGTGTAATATCTTTAACCCTCTGTTAGGGTGAGTGATATACCGCATACACATCTCAGGTGCACATTTATATGATTTGGCAACACTGAGTGAGTCTAATTCGTCATCTAGGTTATTGTGGATAGCCATTTGTTATTAATATAGTTATAAAGGAGCCATAAAAGGGGGCATACACTATCAGAAGAAGACTGGATATGTAAGGACATATAAAAACAGCAGAAACAAATTAATAGGATTTCGGCTAAGTGTGTGCAAAAACGCTCATATGTTAGATAAGGGAAGTATGTATGGAATATAGAAGCATCGTCTTATCCATTTGCAAACAGAAATATCTTATACTTCTGAAATACTTATTTATTATATTTATATTTTGCAGAATACATATAACAGAAAGTACAAATACATGACCTATAAGCCTCGATCTTATGCAACTACCCAAAAGAAAAACTACTACGAACAATAGTGGCTTTTTGTGGGCTACTGGCGCTCTCTACCGGCGCGCGGTTGAACTAATGGCTCATTCATACATAAATAAGGGATCGGACAATAGGTAGTTTTAACTTTTTTGTGGTAGTCGAATGTTCTAGAAAATAAACAAGTTTATACGGGATTTCGTTTTTATTGTGGAAAATTCTTTTGAGTGTTTTACCAGTAATTTTCTGTACCAAACTTACTAGAGTTACAAGATATATCTAACCCACGACGCGTCATAGGCAGATTTGTACAAGTATGAGAAGTGAAGTGAAGATCGTTGTCGCACCATGGACAGTCTTGACTTTTTCTACGCATGATTCAAGCATTCGTCTGGCAATCGTCAATAGGGTAGTTTCCTAAATTGTATTTATAATGTCTGTCTGGTATTTTGTTTTTTCTCAAACAATTCACCTAATATCTTCGATAATATATTGATTTTAAATACCGACTGACGTCACGAATTGCTACGTATTATAGGAACGTGTGACCTCCGAATCCTAAATTTAAATATAGGTACTATATATATATGTATTAATATAATACTAGCTGAACCCGCAACTTCGGCTGCGTTTCAGAGATCAGCCAGTACAAACACACAAACAGACAGACATACAGATAGACAGACACACAGACCGTATGTATGCATATGCATGTAGTAAAAAAAGACACTGCATTTTTTTATTTGTCTATATTTATTTTATAATCTATTGTAATCGATTTTTACTTTCATACCCTGTCAACGACCCTATTTATGAAAGCGTGCGTATGACCTGCAGAAGTGGAATTACGTGGACAATGGGCTTAATCCATGCTTAGTTTGTGGATTAACGGTTATGGATATTATGTTATTTTAAACTTTAAACTTTTTATTCCATAAATACCACATACAGTCCTGAATCGGTTTTCCTTATTGACACTGATTATTAAATTATACTTAATAAGGATACTGTGCTGGCATGATAACTACCCGAGACCGTTATATCCATAATTATTATATAAACATGTCAGTTTTGTTTTGTTAATTATATTAAACAAAATCAAACTTCTAAGATAACATTTGTCTCAATTTGTAGTGCCTAGTCTTTTGAGACCCAATCGACGCAGCCCATTTCAGTTGCCTACAGTATTAAAGCAACTATATTTTTTAGCTTCACTACATATGTATGTCCAACTTAGAATAGAATAGAATATAACTTTATTGTAAGAAAATAAATAAATAACGTAGTAATAATACATACATACATGTACATATACATACATATAAACATGCATTCAAATACACATACATACATATACACATACATACACACACACACACAAACATACATACATATATACATACATACATACATATATACATACATACATACATACATACATACATACATACATACATACATATATACATACATACATGATTACATACCTACTTACACTTAAATATACCATAATTATGTACCACATAAAAGGAAATAGTTTGATGATAACATTATAGAGAAGAGAGGTAGTGCTTCTTAACTTGCTCCTTAAACGCAGCCAACGACTGAGCTTGTCTTATCGACACTGGCAGTGCATTCCACAACCTAACAGCTTGCACAGTGAATGACTTGCTGTAGAATTTTGAGGAATGCTGGGCCATCTCCAATCTCAGATTCGCTGACGACCTCAGTGATCTCGAATGTGCGTCATTTAGGAACTTGAAACGTTCTTTGAGGTAAGAGGGGACAAACGGATTGAACAGTATGCTGTAAATTAGGGACAAGATATGAGTATTCCGGCGAAGGTGGATTGGCAGCCACTTGAGTATATTGCGATATTCGGTAACGTGGTCATACTTGCGCAAACCAAATATGAACCTGATGCTGAAATTTTGGAGTCTCTCAAGCTTATCTAACTGCTCCTCGGTAAGATCTAGATAGCTGACATCGGCGTAGTCAAGGAGAGGGAGCAGAAGTGATCGAACGAGCGCAACTTTGGTTGCAGTTGGCAGAAAGTTCCGGAGCCTGCGTAAAGATCCTGCTGACGCAAATATTTTGCGGCTGACTACTCGCAGCTGTGGTCCCCAGGAAAAGTCTTTGTCTATCAGGATTCCCAGATCCTTCACAGTGTCACTGTACGAGATTCTCGTACCATCAAAGACGTTCGGTGAAATATGTGACCAGACTATCCTTGAGCGCAATCGCAGAGTACCGACAACAATGACCTGCGTCTTCGCAGGATTGATGTTAAGCCCATGAGCCTTACTCCAGTTGGAAATCCGTATTAGGTCCCTGTTCACCATCGTCACGGCTTCAGAGAATTCATGAGGAGGCGCTTGTGAGTAAATCTGTAGATCGTCGGCATACAAATGGTAGGATGAAAGAAGTTCGTTGGAGATAGAGTTTATAAAGATTGCGAAGAGTAATGGAGAAAGAACGCCCCCCTGCGGTACGCCGGCAGTTGCATCAGACCATGCCGAGAGGGAACCTTCAATGCAGACACGCTGCCGGCGGCCAGACAGGTAACTATGAAACCATTCAATCACAGCTGGCGATATGCCAAGAGAACCAAGTATCCGAAGAAGTATATCGAAGTCGACAGTGTTAAAAGCATTGCTAAAATCTAGCAGGGTCAGCAGCGTGAGGTTGCCATTTTCGATGCCAGATCTTATGTCTTCCGTGATGTTAATTAAGGCTGAGGTGGTACTATGTCCTGGACGAAACCCGGACTGGAAGGGATTAAGGAGATTGTGTTTGGTCAGGAAAGCACTAAGCTGCTTGCTAACTTATCAATCGCATACCAAATAAGTATCTATGAATAAGTAGGTGTGATAACCTTATTTGTCTCCAAAAATAATAACGATGCTCCTTAGTATTGCAGATTACTTATTGACGAGTCGTTGAGCACTTGCGATCCTTCGAATCTGACTCCCAAGAGGTGTCTAGGTCTTCAACTGCTGCTAGTCATGCTGACTCTTGTCAGTCTCTTGGGAGTCAGTGTATTTGTAGAAGGGAAGTCGAGGGCTGGATATATCTCAAGAAGCGATGCTGACGTAGGGAACATAGCTGTACTTCTGGGATTACTATGAGAGTTACGGGATATCTCGCAATTTCCAGTAACTCAAAGTATGCTGCCCTCAACTCACTATATGGAACAATTAATGAGTACAACTGTAAAATTCATTGACTTTTTCATTGTAAAAGACTATGCAGGAAAATATAATTATGTTCCGAAAAGTAGCGCAGAGTATAAATACGGTGGATATAGTGATTTACTACCTGTTCATTTCTGATACTAGTACCGTTTAGAGGTTACGTTGGCTCATTACTCCGCTCCGCTTATTCAGTGTTTTTATCATAATGAAGTACTTAACTCTGTTTATTTTTATTAGTGCTCTCGTATTAGTGGATTGTGTCTCATTGACTGCAATTAAAGATTTAATACAAATATCTAATACTATGAAAGAAAATGGTGAGTGATAGATGGTTTCTATTTCATTTTTAACCGACCGAAACTACCTCTAGAGTATGTTGAATTCTTTGACGGTTTACATAATATTACAGGCACCTTTTACGTAACTGGAAACCGTCTCATTATTTGATTCATAAAAACATATCATTTAATTGAATACAAAATATTTAATAGATACCCATTTGAAACAGCCATCTACAATTTTCATCTTTAGGGAATAAGAGATGTGACTTCTAACTTTGATGTAGAAAGACCTGTGTCTATTCATCTATTGTCTATTGCCCTACATGGAGTATGGAAATTCCAGGCTCGATGTAGAGAACTATTGACAAAAATAGCAAATGTAGTTGCCAGTATAGCGATTGGACATGAAGAGGTAAAAATCGAGCTCAGCGCTATGCTATATCTTGAAAAGAGAGAGAAGAGATGTTCAGTAATAAACAGAGCAAACAAGATAAAGATGATGATCACAAGGTCCCCTGTCTGATAATCATGTGGTTCAATGAATGAGACAGAAAAATACCAGACATTTAACCTAAACTATTTTTGTTTTTTTTTGTTGCAGCCGTCGTCGTAAAAACACAAGAACTTCTGTATATACCAACAAATTTGAAGGATTGCACCAACACAGTGTGCGGTTATGTTTGTCAACTTTTTGGATATTACTACGGACAATGTCTTCCTGCTACCACTTGCAAATGTTATAACTAGAAGAATTATCGTAGACTCCAAAATATAAAAATGACGTCAATCCGCCACTGTCCAATCTAAATGTCTTATCACCATCGACAGCTACCTATCATTCTTGTACTTACTAGATAGCACTAATAAAAGAGACTAATTCATTAACTAATACTAGACTGACTAATAAAAGAGACTAATTCACTAATTCATACAATCACCGTGGCTAATAATAAAAATCGATTATATAATGGTTTGTTAATATTTTATTTAACAAATTGTCGCTTCTCTCTCGGGCCTCTGCTAGAACATTCTGTAACTGTTAACTGTCGCGGTCCTCCATGTCATTGGTTGTGAGAATAATTTCGACCAATGACGGGCGAGAATGCGATCATTCAAATATAATTTTCAATTCAAAATTCGAATTGAAAATTATAGAAAAGACTAGCTGCTCGAGAATTGGGTAGTTTCCTAGATTTAAACTGTCAAACACCAAGCGGTCACCGGTGACCGCAACCTATTGTTCTGTAATTGTGTCTACAAAACCGGTACTCGACGAGTTAAAATAAATTGTTTCTATTATTCAATGCAATAAATAATAAAAAATAATCATACTCTCATCCATTAATTTGAGAATTTACCTACTTTTGGATTTTTTCTCGCTAATTTTAAGCATGACGTTGAAATATAATGACGTCACAAAATTCATAGAAAAAAATCGTTTTTGACATTTCAATAAAAGTATTGAATTTGACTACCTATCAACTACCGTATTTAGACTTAGACTTCACTTCAATAAATTGATAGAATTCGATGAAAACTGTGTACAAAGATTGGCTTTTTCTTTTTTATTTCATTACGCCTATGTATAAACTTCTTGTAACAGGATAATAATTATGGATAATTATGTCCGACTATTTGTTTTATTCCTACTATGCAGAGGTGCACATTATGGCACTTAGGGCCACTGTATAATGTAACACCCACTTTTCACTATTTTATGTTATGAGTCCCATGTAATAGGGCGTAAGCCATATTGCTTGCCGACTCAGGAATCGAACCCGAGACCCCTTGCCCAGCAGTCGTACTTGCATTTACTCAGCCAATGAGGCTAATGACGATATTTTGATCGTACCTATCATTTGTCTTAAATAGGCTGGAATTTTTAAAATGTATTTAAATATCATAATATTACGATTAAATAGCAAGAAAAAATGATAAACAACTATGTGAAACAGTAAAGATACCTAATTACCTTTACCTAAGTGTCAAGTCAAGTGTGGGAGAGCCATGCTTCGACATGAATGGGCCAACTCGACCGGAGTGATACCACGGCCTCACAGAAGACCGACGTGAAGCAACGTTGTGTTGTGTTTCGTCGTGTGAGTGAGCGCCCCCCCCCCTTTTCTCCAATCCCTGAATCCTCAACAATCCTCAATTTTCTAATCCTTCTGGATTATACAAGATTATACAATATTGTAACGCCTCTGGTGTTGCATGTGTTCTTGGGCGACGCCGATTGCTTACCATCAGGTGATCCGTCTGCATGTTTACCGGCTTATCCAATAAAAAACAAACAATAGAACTTTAAAATGAAACAAGCAATAATACAAATGTAATTTTAATCAAAGAACAGTAAACATAGTGCGAAGTTTAAAAAAGGGATATAATGAGAAAGGCATAATGTCTAATAGTTTAACTATAGCAACGACAGGTTTCAGCTGAAACGCAGGTTCCATATTTGTAGCCGAGAAATTTACAGACGAAATTACACGCACCACTTGTGCACGCTCGTAAACTCATTGGTATGTAGAGAGCCTCCGTTGCCATCTTCACTGAATCTCCATCTGAAAAAAAAAAAACATTTTTTTTAATCCATACATATTCGTACCGATGAACATAGGTACCTGTCTACATAAAAAAAAACATTCAGTAAAACACAGTAAGAACCTCTTCATTTTTGCAATTCCACAAAGAAATAAAAAAAAACACGCTAATTGCGTCATTGTTCGAGTAGTTGCAACTAACCAACTGACGGGTTCGATTTCCAGATCTGACTAAATATACACCAAAGTGACCCTTTAACATAGGACGCGTACTGTAACTGGTTGAAAGTTGATTATTTTACATTCAGAAATAAAATAGCGTGTTTGCCCGCGTATTCCTGTTTTATCACATGGGAGCATTAAATAAGGATAAAAAGTCTTATCTTACCACCTAGTCAACCCATACACTGCCTGTATACCAAAATCCATTCAGTAGTTTCAGTGTGATTGACTGACAAACATCCGAACAAAGAAACTTTCACTTTATAATATTAGATGTAATATGTCAAACAATGTGTTTATCAATAAACTTATCATAATGTTTACAATTAATTACAAAAGGAGTAAAGTCAAGAAAGAAGAATTCAAACAGCCCATGACATTCCATGACTGGATTACTGGATAACAGGTCGGTCCTGATCTTCTATCCCCATAGAAATAAAGGATGGATGGAGAACAGATTCAATTGACTGCGCGATTGGCGCGGTAGCGGGCACCCACAAATTGTTGTTTCGGGTCAGGGTATCATGTGCATGTGAACTTATATGTTTGTAAACGCACCCACGATAGAGTGTAAATCTTAGTGTGGGGTTTTTCTTTAAAAAATATATATGTATACTAAGTTTATAACTATTCCCACGCAGTTTCATCCACTCTGCTCGGCTCCTATTGACCTCTAGCGTTCCTCGATAAATAGACTATCCAACACAAAAATAATTATTCGATTCGGTACAGTACTTCTGCAGATTAGCGCATTCAAACAAACAGATAAATTAACAAACCCTACAGCTTCACAATTATAATTAAGTAAATATTGATAAGTAGTTAGGTAAATAAGTATAAATATTTTTAAACCACTTACCTATTTTATTGTGGGAGATGTCATAAGCCCTCAACAGATCGTCAATGGAAAAGACTTCAGCATATGCTGCCAAAATCATCGCACAAACGACAAACAGTACGAGTTTCATTTTGATAATGTAGACCTATTTGGACCACGACTATACTTCTCGGGAACTGACCTCAAACTGATCAGAAAACCAAACTGATGTATAAAAGTCAACACTGCTTAGACTGTCGTATTTGAAATAAACAAAATTGCAACTTATGACTCGAATGTAGAGTTCAAATTGATAACAGCAATTTATGTTTCTATATTATGTAGTTACATCCGAGATGACTGGAGTGGTTTAAGCCAGGGATACACTACGGGGCAAAAACAAAAAGTCCCGCGACACATTGATGCCGGTAATTTTGAATTGAGTGGAGCGACATGTCTAGCAACTTATCGCATGTTCGCACATGTATCATCTTCATCAGTCAGGTAAGTAACTGGCGTAAGTTGCGCGATATCAAACGATATCTCTTAATTTTGAATAAGTTTTGATGCAGGAGAACTATGCTTTAGTTCAGCATAAATGGGCTAGCTCGACCGGAGTGCTTCTATGTATACCTTTGCCTATTTACCTAATTACCTTTCAGAAAATAGGCGTGAAACAACGCTTGCGTTGTGTTTTATTCACCGTACCGCCTTGGTTAAGCAGGTTGCAAATTACCATGAAGTGATCTGTCTTTGCCGGCCATGTCTTATAAAAAAGCGTCGTGGGATAATTGTCCCCTACAGTGTGTCCCTAGCTTAATAAGTTTATAATAACTTTATTTATTTCCCTATGTTATTTTTAGGTACCTACCTACACACTGTACACATAATAGGAATTCACAGCTTCTTCGGGGCTCTGGCTCGAAGAGCAGGAGTTGGAACGAGGTGGTTTTTAGTCACTCTCTCTCGCCTAACCCAAGGCGGAAGAAGACATGAGATTATTCTTCCCCCTTAAAAAAAAATAAAAATAAACGAACAAAGACTTTGAGGATCGATTCCTTAGTTACACACATAAATAACATTTTTTTCTACACAGTACGGAGCCTGTATTTACGTTAAAATACATGATACTTACAGATTCCCAATTTCCTCAATGCATTTTTCTAATTCTTACTTTCATACAAACCGACCATATCAATAACGTCAACGCATTAACAAATTATTTTGAAACAAATAAGTTATTATCCAATTTGGTGCAGTTGTTCTGAAGTTATGCGCGTACAAACATTTCGGAGGGTCATTTATATTTATTTAAGAAGATATAGAGAGATAAGTCCATCGGTACTGGACAACCTATAGATACTTTTTATGCGTAATGAGGGGTCACGGTCAGGTCATTGTCTCCCGATTATGATATAATCTTCACAATATGTAGGTACTTACCTCATATCACGTCATACCATGCTTTTTCACGGGGGATAAACCCATTAGATATGTATATCTTTATCTGTATCTATCTCGTCTCTCAGAAGGTGATCCTACTAACTTTTATCTGCTACTTAATATGTGAAGAGTTAAATCCCATTATTTTTATATTCTGTTAGAGTTTTGGGAACTCCTCTTCAAAAGTTCTCTTATAATAACATCCAAAAGACCTACAAGTTAAACCGTTACTAGTTTTTCAAGCTGTGTTACTTTGTGCTAGGTGCAGGAATTTATTGGGCAAACTAACATTATCACAATAACTGAAAGCACTCATGGTGGAAATCTTTACAGGGACTTAGCATATTGTGAAACAGACCATTTAATACATTTTTTAAATAATCGAATAATATACTTAACTAAACAAATTCGCTATCCATCGTCTGTCTGTCCCTATGTATGCTTAGATCTTTAAAACTACGCAACGGATTTTGATGCGGTTTTTTAATAGATATAGCGATTCTTAAGGAAGGTTTGTATGTATAATATATGCATATTGCACCCGTACGAAGCCGGGGCGGGTCGCTATTTTTAAATAAATAATACAAGTCTTTCCTTGGCTTACACATTTTAGCTTCTACTTAGCAAAATCTGTCCAAATTCCACATATTGTTTTCTCATTGAATTAAGTAGATATACTTATTTCCCTGTTTGTCCCTTGGTTTATTTTTAGACACCGATATCGTACTATTACACCCATCATTTCTTGGAAATTTCGACAGATGAACACAGACCTACCATACATACCTATAACACTATCTATCGCTAGTTATTTTATGTAAGTTGCTGTATTGTAGAGACTGTCCATGGACCCTTGCCCATACCTCTGTTGTTACCTTACCTATTTGAAGGTTTATATATATATTTGTTTGTCATTTGTATTCTGTGTGAACATAGGCCTCCTTTAATTCCAGATTGGTAGGGGGACAATTTAGATTTGGTCCAATTTCATCGCAATAAGTTCGATAGTATTGATGCAAACAGTTATTGTTAGTAAAGATATGGTCATACATTGTTAAAAATTACTATTTATCAAGACTATGACTAACAAGGCTCACACTCAGCCATCTGTGCTTAGGCGTCATAACAAAAAATAGTTCTAAGAACTTTTAAAACTGCGTGACCTGACTAAAAATAATTAAATGCTAAATTCGACCTTATTACTTCTAAGGTTCTCATAGTGACTACACTGCTACACAGTATGGTACCAAGACCAACGCAACAAAAAGGTTATTTATTATCAATCGCGTTTTTGTTTTTTTTACAATTAACAAAAAGCACGCCTAGTGTTCGGGGTATGCGTAGCCCACTAACGGAGTCCCTCTCAAAATCGATGACTTTAAAAAAATAGAATATTTACCAATTTAAAAGGATGCTGGTCGATTTAAGATTTTAACAGAAAGTCCGTACCTATAACTACGTAAAAAATCTTAATTCAAAATCTACGGGACTACACATGACGAGATAATCATGAACCTACTACTATCTCAAACCCGCATGCCATGCGGGAAGAATCGCAGATTATTTAAAACCCTCTTACGAAGAGGAGAACTACTTATAGGGTGTTAATGATGAACACATTGTTCTTAACTTCAATGCCTAAGTACTTATTTATTATCATCTGAATAAGCATTAATTGGTAGCTGTGCCTGTTTTAACCAATTAAATAAAACGTCCCTAAACATTAGATACATCTACATTTTTCCTGCTCTATTAATATTTATTAATATTTAGTACCTAACTTGCTATCCATTGGTGGTTCAGTCTGTGGTTCAGTGGCTAACATAACAAAGCAACAAAGCTCACAATTTATTCAGATCACAAACACTTCGTCAGTTCTTCGCAGACGCCATTGTAAAGCCATTAATTAGCACACAATGATAAAATAATTAAATGTGGAAATTATTCGTCATTCATCGCAAAATCTTAATTAAGTCCCTAAATTGGAATCGAATTCAATTTACGCTTGTGTGACAAAGTCTTCGATGTTTTAAAGTCATAATTAGGGGATTGTGTTACAGAGCGGAACAGTGGAGGTGGCGACAATCCATGATTAGAGTATGGTTGCTGTATGAATTGAAACTAGACTGTAATTAGGTAATTAGTTAATAAACCATAATTTCCTTTTAACAAGGAGCTGTATTATCCCTAAAGCACACAAAGTACCTAAGTATCTAGTGCACCAGGTTACAGAGGGATGCCACGAGACGCGGCATACCCAACTATCCAAAGTTGCGGCGCCAAAAACATAGCGGTGCCTATGAGATGCTTACCTAGGCAGTACCGACTTTACCATAACTCGCGACCCGTGCCCAGGGCCACCAACTCCAGGGGGCCCCGAAGGACCGAGTGGGTTACACAAATCGGGTCTGGGTGTGTATGTGAACTTGTTTGTCTGTAAACTTAACTGTATCCTAGTGTGGTGCAACGTAAAAAACAGGAAACATTCCACATGGGCCCCGAAGTATTGTGTGCCCAAAAGCCCCAGCGTAGTCCGGCGGCCCTGTGCCTAGAGAGCTCTCTAGGTTTAATCCGCCTCATTCCCTATTTGTTTATATTAACAACATAACATGGCTGACCTACCTAAATATAGGTACCCACGTATCTCAGGGAAAATGTGGTTATTAATGACAATCAATGACAACTAAGTACTAGGCAGCTAACCATCTACCTATTGCCAGGGCCGTTACAAGTAGGGTTGCCACCTTTTATTTTGGTATTTAAAGTACATTGACGATTATAGGTAAGAAAAAAAAGTACATAGTACAAAAATAAAGTACAATTTGTTCTTATTTAGTATTATATTTAAAAATATGTTTTTATTGCTTTTTGCAGTTTGTATTAAATTAGTATCTTTACTAAACAATTGCATCTTTACTAGAAATTGTCTAAGTGGCGCTGGCGAGTGGCGAAATCGATTCAACATAAATCGATAAATATCGATATGGAATCGATAAGTTTACCGAAAAATACTTACGACTTTAATAGAAATGAAGTTTGCAAAAATAAAGTATTTTTGTGTACTTTATTATTCTTATAAAGTATAGAGTACAATTACCTTAAATAACGTACAATACTTTATTATAAAGTACGGGTGGCAACCCTAGTTACAAGTTCACATACACATGACACTCAGACCAAAAAACAATAATATTTGTGGATTGTGTTACGGGGCAGTCGGTTGCCGCGCAACGTATAGCGGGTGTGTACCCGTCGTAGAAATTGTCCGCCCTTCGGGCCTAAACAAAGCCTAAGGCCCCCATCTTCAGGGACCTCCTAAAGATGGAGGCCTTGGCCACGGGCCCCGAGTGCCCTTATGGTAAAGACGGTGCTGCCTACTGCCAAAGTTAGAACCGATTTTTGAAATCCCTGGAAGTTGAAGTATTTTGTCATTATTTATGACTTATTTGATTGTTTGATTATATGATTTATTTGGTTCTATGGCTGTAATGTTATACTATAATTAAAATAAATGAATGGTGCTTTTGAAAAATTAAGTAAGTGCCATCTGACGGCCGGTGGGGTAGAAAGATTCTCGAATGGAAGCTGCAGACTTACTAATTAAAACACTTGCAACTATATTAATAAAGCATACTTGTGGATAGTGTGGAGGATCCGTGACCTATGTTTAAGTATCTCGTTTATCCAAAACTAAAGACTAAGAACCTTTGTAGCCTTGTTGCGTATCCTGCCTGCACCAAAATTAAATTGCATCGTGATAGCTACTGGTGTATAATTGACACG